GTTCGAAAAATTTAAGAAAAGAAGTGACATTTTAAGTGTTGTTAGGCATGGTGAAGCTGCTAGTGCTGATAAAGAAGGGGCAGCAAAGTTTTTAATTGAATTTAAAAAACTGATGGAAGAAAATTATCTTCCACAGCAAGTTTTCAATGTTGACGAAACTGGGCTGTTCTGGAAAAAGATGCCCAAAAGAACATTCATCACCAAGGATGAAGCCTCTTTACCTGGGCATAAACCCATGAAAGACCGTCTCACTCTATTGCTTGGTGCCAATGCTTCAGGGGATTTCCGACTGAAGCCTATGCTTGTCTACCACTCTGAAAACCCCAGGGTGTTCAAGCAACAGAAAGTGGTAAGAACAATGCTTGGAGTTTATTGGAAGTCCAACCGTAAGGCATGGGTGACAAGACAGTTCTTTAATGAATGGGCTATTGATGTGTTTTGCCCCTCTGTCAAGAGCTACCTAACCACCAATAAACTTCCTGTAAAGGCTCTTCTCCTCATGGATAATGCTCCTGGTCATGACCCTGACCTTGCCAGAAATTTGGAGTATAAATTTGACTTTGTGAAAGTGTTGTTTTTGCCTCCAAACACTACATCACTCATACAGCCAATGGACCAGAATGTGATCAGCAACTTCAAGAAGTTGTACATGAAGAAAATGTTTAGGAGGTGTCATCAGGCAACTTCCAGTGATCCTGAACTAACACTGAAACAGTTCTGGAAGACACAATTCAACGTCCTGGAGGCTGTAAAATTGATTGTGTCATCATGGCAAGAAGTCTCCAATAGAACCCTCAATTCTTCATGGAAAGCACTGTGGCCATCAGTAGTCCATGATTTTGAGGGATTTGAGGATGACACAGAGTTGGACCAGGAGATTGTGTCCATTGGTCAGTCATTGGGTCTTGAAGTGGAGGAGAAGGATGTGGAAGAGCTTGTGATGTCTCATGAGGAGGAACTTACTCCTAATGACTTGAAGGAACTGGATGAGATGTTACGGGTAGAGGCTGACAGTGGTGAGTAGGAAATTGAAAGTGATGACCATATGTCAGCTACACAGTTGAAAGATGTGATTTACCACTGGGAGAAGTTCAGGGAACTGGCTTCAAAGCACCCAGAAGTGGAAAAAACTGAACTAGCTTTGTGTCATGTTGAGGACTCAGTGGTCTCCTTCTTTAAACATAAGTTAATGGTGAGGAGGACAGATGCCCCACAGACCACAATTGACACTTTCTTCAGTAAAAGGCAGAGGGAACAAGATGCTAGCCCTCAGCCTTCCACTTCAAGAAGGAGAGAGGATGTTCATGGTGGAGAATCTGTCAGTCCAGAGGGTCCTGACATTTTCATGGAAGGTGACTCACCTTCCAAGAAGCAGTAAAATGCTTCTCCTCCACCTCCACTTCCTTCTCTTCTCCCTTCTCCTCCTGCACCTCCCACTTCAAATGCACATCATCACCATCATCCAGGAGCCTTCTACATACACACCTCAAAGTAAGTAAATTTTTCCGCCATTTTTGTTGAAGTTAGGAAATTTTCGGTGAGCTGGAACCAATTACCCAAAAACCCATTGAAACAATGGTTTCGGTTAACGAACGTTTCGGTTAACGAACGACCTTCTGGAACGGATTGAGTTCGTTAACCGAGGGGCCACTGTATATATATATATATATATATATATATATATATATATATATATATATATATATATATATATATATATATATATATATATATATATATATATATGTATATGTATATGTATATGTATATATGTATATGTATATGTATATGTATATATATATGTATATGTATATGTATATATATATATATGTATATGTATATATATATATGTAATGTATATGTA